CTCAGGGCCAGCCTCTCCCTCCCCAGTGGGGAAACTGAGGCATGTCATTGGGCCACATCCCCAATACCTGCTTGGAGTTGGTCAGGTAGAGCTTAGCTGCCAGATTGATGACCTGCAACTTGACGATGTCCTCCTCGTTGGTAAAGGACTTGGCCATCTTGCGCAGCACATCAGGCGCGATCTTGGGCACATGCTCACAGTACTCACCGATGAGCCACAAGATGCTGGCCCGTGCCATCGGCACCTGCAAAATGCCCCCGGGCACATGGCACCGCTGCCACTCCCCTGGTCCTGTGGGCCATGCAATGCCCCCACCCACCTGGATGTTGTCGGTGAGCTTGGCCATGTGCTTGATGATCTCACTGTGCTGGGCCGGCTGCATCTGCAGCAGCTTTTTGATGACCACCACGGATTCGGCCACTACCAGCTCTGCGGGCAGAGACCCGGCCCCAGTGAGGTCCTGCCCCGAGAGCGCTGGAGCCCCCATCTCACCCCCACCGCGTGCACTCACCGTCCCGGTTGGAGAGGAGCTGGACCAGGCCATTGAGGCAGGTGTCCCGCACCTTTCCGATGTTGGTGGCACAGCGCCCAATGGCTTGGATGGTGGCTGCCACAAAGTCCTTGTCCATGCTGCGGATGTAGGTCTGCACAGGCATGGGGGACACACATGACATGTCACCCACATGCCAGTGCTGGCCACCCCCCTTTGTGGTGGTCACACATTGGCGGCGCGCGGCGGTAGGTGACGGGGAGGAGGAGGGGGCAGGGGGGGAAGCCGCGCTGAGGCGGTTTCCCGCCTTTTCTCGGTGTGTGGCGGCGGAGCGGGGACGGGATCCCCTCCTCCCCTCAGGGTCCTGGCCTCGGGGGGGCCCCGAGCGCGGAGCTTAGCCCTCTCTCGGCACCCCCCCTTCTCCCACATGAGGCTGGACCCTGTTGCTAAGTGAAGTCCGGAGGCCCGGTGGCTGCCCCCGAGGGAACAGGGCGCTCTGAGGGAGCCCCACTTCAGGGAACTCATCATCTGGGCTGTGCTTCCTTCAGGGACGGAGCCACTGCTGCAGGAAGCTCAGTGGTCCTAGTGCAGTGATGAAGCAGTGCCTGTGGGTGCCCTCATCCCTGGTTATTTGGGGGGTGAAGTTGATCTGGAGGTGCCGAGTTCTGGTTCATGGTGGTGGGGTGTGTTTAGGCTTGACTGGGTACTCATGGTCTTGTCTGGTAGCAAGTGGCAGTAGTTGAGTGCTTCTAAACTTTTTTGGTGTACAAAGTGAAGGGAGCTGCTATTTTACTCTTAAACCAGGTGACTGCAAGCTCCCTGTAGCCAAGACTGGCTTTTGTTAGTGACCCAGGAGACTTAGTCCCTAACTATGCTATATGGGCAAAGGCAAGAGACAAGTCTGGAAAACAAGTTCTTTTACCCTTCAGTATTCCCCAGCTAAAACCAATTAGTGCTCTTTACTGCTGCTTTCATGACTGGCTAGCCATGTGTCCTAGCACCTGGAGCATTGGTGAGGGGCTCCATTAGAGTGGTGCAAGGGGTGGGTATTTTGTTTTGTGAGCAGCTGCAGGATCCTGTTGCTTTGCTGCAGTTTATCTCAACTGGAACAAGCTCCCTAAACCAATTAAAAAACCTTATTCTGCCTTGATAATATGCTCAAACAGGCTGCTGTGATATTGCTTGTTTCCAAAGCTGCTTGAGTGATAGCTTCAAAATGTTTTGTTTAAAAAAAAAAAAAAAAAAAAAAAAAGTAGGTGCCTTGACAGGGAAACTTCTTTAAAAGCACGAGTTTGGGCAAAATTGCTATTCTGAAGTCAGTGCTCCCCTGTAAAATAACATCAAAATCCCTTCCAGTTTTGATTCCAGCTAGGTGTATTCAAGACCCTCTCCACACAGTAAACCCTGGGTGAGCTGCTTAAGCTCAGCCTTGCTCATGGTGAGAGCTAATGCTGTTTGGGATAAGTTGGGTGTGTGACCTTGTTGCTTTGTTAGTGGTGTTACTTGGTAGGAACAGTTACACCAATACAGTACTTTACATTGTTGTAGCTGACTTCAGCCTGGGAAGCAAAACATACCAGCAAAAAACAACTTTGAGCTGCCTTTTGATCAAAGCCTGGAGCCACCTTCTCTTGAGTCTGACACCTTTTTAACAGCATCTTCAATTTTGTCTCAGGATTCAAGGCCCTCTTGGTTGTAGCTACAGTGCTGAGAACCCCTTCAGGCATTGGCATGGTGCTGCCCCAGTGGGATTTCTGCAAAGGATGTAAAAAGCAAAGGCTGAATTGTAGCTGAGGTGGATGAGCCTTGTCTGCTCCATAGTGTCCCCAGGAGCTAATGCACATCTTGGCCATAGTGGCAGCTGGGCTGTGTTTAATGACTTCCCTAAGGATTAGGGTATCCTAATCCTGTGCCAGTGCTGTTGTGATGCTGCAGGTTCTGCCTAGTCCTGGGATTTCATTATCTGTAGGTTCCTGCAGGTGTGTCTGTCTCAGGGCTGTCGAGGTGCCTTTATTTCCACTTATCTTGGACATCTTTGGTGGCTATTCCCGCACAAGTGCGTGTTGTTCCTCTGACTGAGGTGCTGCAGGTTGTGCGTGTGTCTCTGGAGTGGGACATCCTGCAGGTAAACTGCTGGCTGCAGACATGAGGTTTGCTGGGGCTGATGGGATGGAAACTCCAGAGACCTGACAGCTGCTGTGCTTCAGCTGCTGGCTTCTCAATGCAGAGCTGGCAAACAAGAGCTCTCTACTAAGGCTCACTGGTTGTCTTTCTGCTACTCTGAGTGGAAACTCCTCCTCATGATATCAAATCAAGCCTGGTACTCCTTTTCTCACTCTGGTGTGTTTTGTTTGTTTGGAGTGTTGGAGGTGTCTGGAGCTGGATTGTGCCCTCCTTGAGACTTCAGAGCATGCTGGGGATGTATCTTCGTGCTTGGACATGGGGTTTTGGCTAAGGGTTTCACTGAGCCAGGATATGATGGTCTGTACTCCTGTCTGAGTTTCACCTTGCAGTGTCTTTGTGTGCAATGCTTCATGGGTCTGTGTTCCAGATCTACCACAGTGATTTAACCTGAAGCATCTAAATTGTTTGCTCTGTGGCACTGTGTGCCTGCTGCAGGGAACTGAATTGCCTTTTTCATTTGTTTCTGATCGAGGAAGGTCCCTAGAAGTTCTCAGCCTTAAATGGAGCCTGGGTGTCTCACCAGGCATCAGGAAAGGCTGGTTGACTCCTGATGACTTTAAATGACCTGTTAGCTGGATTGTGCTTCTGTATCGATTTGTTCATCCAGTGGCTGCACTGATAAAATGGTGTGTCGTCCTCTGGATTGGCACTGTGTGCTGCAGCAGGTGGAACCGGCTGAGAACGGCCATTGTTGGGTCACTGGTTACGCCCCAGTGTTTCACACTGTGGTTACTGTTGGCGCCTGCAGAAGAAGGACCCACCAGTGCTCCTGGACTGGTGCCTCGGTGGAAGCAGAGGGGAGAACTTCCAGAGAAGCCTGAACAGGCAGTATGTGTTTAACTGTTGCAAAATTCTTTGCAATGGAGCACTGAAAGCTAATCCTAGCTGGGCTCGAGTGCTTCTTGGCTTGGGGATGTGAGAGCGGAGCAGGTTCTGGAGGATGCGGCCTCAGGCATGGTATTTCCCTGTGCTTTGGTATTTACTCTGAGACTAAAAGATATGGGCGTGTTCTCCAGCTACATGTTTGCAAACTCTTTCCACTGGACTATCCAGGCTGCTGAAGTGTTTGGGCGCAGTGTGCTTTGGAGACCTGTAGAGCTCTTCTCAAAGGAGTATCTCTGACATAGGGAAGGTGAGCTTTACTGGAGGAAGGTATAGACATGAGCTGCTTCCTACAAGGGGTTGGATGCCAGCTCCTGTATCCAGGATGCTTGCAGTATCTTTAGGATATCCTTGACAGTCTTAAGGTTAAAAGCTCTGTAAGTGGAAGGAGTTTTTGTGGAAATGCTTGGCTATACTCTTACTGTTTTTCAGTTTTCTTGTTTCCTTGTTTATAGCAGGACTGGTGCTGCCAGCTGTGGGAAGCATCAGATACTAAATGAGCAGGAACGGGTCAGGTGTTTGGTTGCTGCTTGAGTTTTTTTGTCTTGCTAGCACAAACTCCTAGGGAAAAGCTTTTTCCTCCTGTTGTAAGTGGTTCTTTAGCAGTAACAGGAGTAGAATATAGAGTTTCACACTTGTGCCAAAGCAGCCTGATGTGGCGCTTCTTTTTATTAAAGATGACTGGCAATACTTTCTTAAACTGAGCTTCTGTACTCAGCTGCTTTTTATAAAGATGACTTAAAGCTTGCTCTGCCTGTTTCCCCTTGCCTGAAGCTTGCTTTCAACCCTACCTGTTTTAGTCTTGGCTTGTAAATGCTCCTGCATTGTGCCTGTAGAACCCCAGGACCTTATGTGGGGGTGGGCTGAGCCTTTTATAAACAAAGATCCGGGACCCCAGCGCTGAGTAGATGCCAATAGCTTTAAACAGGCTGAAATCTTGAGTTGATTGTTCAGGTCCTGCCTGGAGGTGTTGTGCAAGTTGACAACTCAGTAGCCTGTTCCTGCTGCTTCCAGGACAGTTTCCCTTGCTTTTAGCTAAATGGTGGGGGGGAAGCTGTCATGTGTGGAGAAAACCATTGGTTCATATGTTGCAGCAATAAAACTGCTCCTAATGACAAGGTGAGGGGTGAAATGCAAGTCCCCTGCTCCTGCTGGGATAAAGTTCCTGTGTCTGTGTGAAATTCAGTTTAGGCCTGCCTCCTGCCACAGGCCACATACTGGAAAGATCAGTAAGGGATGACTTGAAAGTAAAACCAGCTTGGTGCTCCAGGCCTGCTAGTGAGTGAAGCAGGGGGGGGTACTGTGGGGGAAGTCAGGCCCAAAGCTCTTGTGGGAATGCATCCAAAAGGTAGATGTATTAAATGTCTCCTTGACAAGTACAAATGGCCCAATTTAGAGCTATAGGCTTCTGTGTCCTAGAGTAGCAGGGGTTGTTTGCCAGCCTTGCTGCAATTCAGTCTTTGAATCTGGCTCTAACTTGATTTGCTTAATGGCAAGGATTCTTCTCTGAAGGCCAAGACTGGCAAGGTTGTGCCTTCCTGCTCTTTTCTTTAATGTGGGTCTTAATTGATAGCAATACCGTTTGCTCAGCATGTTCAGGAACAGAGTTCTGCTGCAGTGGCTTTTGGGTGGCAGGAAGACCTGCCCTCAGCCCAGAAATGCTGGTTAGAGATTAAGTTTAGTGGTTTCCAGATTGGCAGAGGCTTGAATGTTGTGCAGCTGCATCAAAACAAGCCTGGATGTGAAAGTGGCTTGCAAGCAGAGCTGGGAGAATCTCAGCTGCTCCTGCCAGTTCTCTGGACCTCCACCAGGAAGCAGGAGAGATTTGAACTTTTTTCATGCAGAGGAAGCTTTACAAGACCTTTGGCTTGTTTAAAGTCGTCTCTGGTCCCAAAACCTTGATTCTGGTAAATCAATGCCTGTGGAGTGCTGTGCTAGAGCAGAGTTGGTTTGGGGTAACCTCCCTTTCTAGCCAGGAGTTGCTGCCTAAAGGAAAGATCAGGATTTAATTCTATGCCTTTCTGAGGGTGACCTCAGGATTTGGGGCTCTGATTAGCTGGGAAGCCATGTTTTTTCTGCAAGTCTGTTTCTGAAGTGATTGT